TTAACTGTTTTTTTTTTTTTTTTTTTTTTTTTTTTTGAGACGGGGTCTCACTATTTTGCCCAGGTGGGTCTTGAACTCCTGCTCTGCCTATTTTATTATTTTTAGTTTGTTAAATGCCCTGTTTATTCTGCAAACAAGGCTTAGAAATGTGCAGACACAAGTTGTAGGTTGAGAAATCTCTGTGTAGCTGTGACTTCACGACTATACTTTGGTAAAAGCAGTTATGACGGTGGCTTCTGAACATATTAACCTACCATTGTTTTGTCCAGAGTGAACAGTGAAAATGGATTCCTAATGGCCTATTTCTCTAAGTGATCATCACATTTCGCTGCTCTAGTCTTTAAGAACGAGTGGAGCCTTCACTTAAGCTGCCATCTCCTTGCCACTCAGGGCTTCAACAATTGTAAGCACAAACTCAAAGCTGGTCCCAGGCCCTCGGCTTGTAAGAATTTCAGGCTGTCCTTTTCCACACGATTCTCAGAGTAGGTGTAGTGACCTCCATTCATCATTTTGTCCTTAGCAAGCGGGAGTGTTGTAACTTTACTTCCAAAACTTATTTCATGAGCCATCAGAGCAGTAGGACCTGTACAGATGGCGGCTATAAGGTACTTCTGGTTTTCCTGTTCCTTTAGTATCTCCTTCACAGCAGCAGACTCAAATAAATTCTGTGCACCCAGATTACCTCCTAGTAGAACCACTATGTCATATGGTCCCCCTTTTTTTGCATCTTCAAGACTGGTATCAGGGCAAATGACAACAACATGGCTACACTGTACTGGGTCTTTTCCAGCCAGACCCGCAATGGTGACCTTAATCCCAGCTCGCCTCATGACATCTACAGGATGACCGTCCCCATTTCCTCTGCTTCTTCAGCCAAAAACTCAAAATAATAATGATTTAAAAATCAGGAGCCGGGCGCGGTGGCTCACGCCTGTAATCCCAGCACTTTGGGAGGCCGAGGAGGGCGAATCATGGGGTCAGGAGATCAAGACCAGCCTGGCTAACACGGTGAAACCCCGTCTCTATTAAAAATACAAAAAAATTAGCCGGGCGTGGTGGCAAGTGTCTGTAGTCCCAGCTACTCGGGAGGCTGAGGCAGGAGAGTGGTGTGAACCCAGGAGGCGGAGCTTGCAGTGAGCTGAGATCATGCCACTGCACTCCAGCCTGGGCGACAGAGCGAGACTCCATCTCAAAAAAAAAATAAAATAAAAATAAATCAGGTTATGTTTTCATGTATTGAGTTGTAGAACTATTTTATACTAAGACTTTAATTTATACAATGTGAATGTTCCTAACAATAATGTGAGCATATTTCCATGTGCTTATTTGTCATCCATTTATCTCCTTTGCTAAAGCGTATTATTGGGTTGTAAAGTTCATCCTATATTTGATACCTATATCAAATATTTGCATACCTATATCTGGTATGCAAGTTCTACACCAGATCTGTATTTCATGGATATTATCTTTCAGTCTGCGGCATTCCTTTTTTTTTTTTTTTTTTGAGACAGTCTTGCTGTGTTGCCCAGGCTGGAGTGCAGTGGTGCCATCTTGGCTCACTGCAACCTCCACCTCCCGGGTTCAGGCAATTCTCGTGCCACACCCTCCTGAGTAGCTGGAATTACAGGCACCCGCCACCATGCCTGGCTACTTTTTGTATTTTTAGTAGAGACAGGGTTTCGCCATGTTGGCCAGGCTGGTGTCTAACTCCTGACCTCAAGTGATCTGCCTGCCTTGGCCTCCCAAAGTGCTTGGGAGTCTTGCTCTGTCGCCCAGGCTGGAATGCAGTGGCGTGATCTTAGCTCACTGAAACGTCCGCCTCCTGGGTTCAAGCGATTCTCTTGCCTCAGCCTCCCAACTAGCTGGGATTACAGGCATCTGCCACCACACTCGGCTAATTTTTGTATTTTTAGTAGAGATGGAGTTTCACCATGTTGGCCAGGCTGGTCTCGAACTCCTGATCTCTGGTGATCTGCCCGCCTTGGCCTCCCAAAATGCTGGGATTACAGGTGTAAGCCACCACGCCTGGCCTATGTAAGATATTTTGAGAGCAAGAGAGACCAACCACATTCACATAACTTTTATTACAGTATATTGTTAACATTGTTCTATTTTGTTATTAATCTCTTACTCTGCCTAATTTAAATATTAAACTTTATCATAGTTAAGCATATATAGGAAAAAACGTGTATAAAGGGTTTGGTACTGAGGTTTCAGGCATC